AAGGGGGTTTTGATGGATCCCAAGCAGGTTATTAACATTACTTCATGGGAGCTACCCCAGACTTACCAGGATATCCAAGTCTTCCTAGGGTTTTGCAATTTCTACTGCAGGTTCATCTAAAATTACTCTAGGATTACCCTCCCCCTTATGTCTCTATTAAAGGGAAGCAAGGACGGCAAGAAACCAGGGAAGGTCTCCCTAAACCTTCATGAAAGGTTAGTATTTCATCATCTTATTACTACTTTTCAGTCAGCCCCACTGCTCAGACATTTTAATCCCTCAAAGCCTATCCAGATTAAAACCAATGCGTCAGACGGAGCTATGGCAGGAATCCTCTCCTAACCTAATGATGATAATGGGGTATGGCACCCAGTGGCCTTTTAGTCCAGGAAATTCACGGGTGCTGAGATCCTCTATAGGATGCTAGATCAGGAGCTTTTTGCCATTATCTATTTATTTAAACACTGGCGACACTACCTTGAGGGAAGTATTCACCCTATTAAAGTGTTCTCAGACTATTCAAACCTTCAAACCTTCATAAAATAGACAAAGCTAAATAATCAGCAGGTGAGATAGTGCCTGTCCCTCACACCATTTAATTTTGTAATAAAACATCATGCTAGGAAGACAAATCCTGCGGATGGACCCTCTAGGCGTTGGTTGCCAGAGGCCCATGAGGTTGACCTGATATCACCATTGCGCCAGAGAATGGCTGGTGATTCACAGATAACTGATCACCGTGCTGCTAGGGTCCAGTCGCTGACTGTGAGAGATCTGACCTCAGGGATCCCCTGCTTCGAAGAAGACAAAGGCGGGGATGAATTGATTGGGCTAATCAATTAGGAGGAGCTAGGCTGTGTGTGGTTAGTCCCCCGTGCGCAAGTTCAGATGGCTTGCGCTTCTGAGAAGGCCTACCGGGCTGCAGCTGGTGAGGACCTGAAGGAGCTTGTCAAGCAACTCTAAGACAGAGACCTTGAGACTTAGTGCTAAAAGAGCACTGTAGAGCAGTCAACTCCTGGGTTTAAGGGCTAGAGTATTAGGCCTAAGGGCTTATTATGTTTCAAGAATCACATCTATATCCCTGTGGGGAATAATCTGCGGCATGAGTTGCTAAGCATCCATCATAATGACCCCCTTGCTGGCTATTTCGGGCGCACAAGGATGCTTGAGTTGATTAAGAGAAAATATCACTAGCCAAATATCAAGTAAGACATTGCCGACTATATAAAGGACTGTCAGGTTTGCCAGGGTGTTATGGCCAGGAGGCACAAGCCCTATGGTAAGTTGCAACTACTACTGATCCCAACCCGTCCCTTCACAGAAATTTCAATAGACTTTGTCACTGGGCTTCCACAAGCCATGTTTAATGGTAACCTAGTGGATACCATCCTAGTGGTTGTTAATAGATTCACAAAATGGTCTCTGTTCTTTTCTATTTCTACTATGATCACCGTAGGTGAACTTGCTGAGCTCATCCATAATGAGGTTGAGCTGAAGTTTAGGCCTCTAGAAGGGATTATGTTAGACTAAGGGTCTATGTTCACTAGTAAACTTTAGTCTAAGCTATATTACCTCTCCTAAGTGTGCTTAAGGCTTTTAACAGCATTTCACCCACAGACAGACAGGCAAATAGAACATGTTAACTAGATATTAGAACACTACCTGCACTGCTTTATCACTAAGGAACAACTTACCTAGCCAAAACTACTAAAGACAGCTAAATTTGCATGTAATAATGCCATTAACACCATAATAGGTTGTTCACTATTCCAAGCCCTCCTAGGGTACTCACCTGACTTTCGACAATGCTTCGAGGGCGAAGCTCTAATAGAGGAGGTCCCCGCGGCATCTGTATGAGTTAAGAAACTTAAAAAACTTCATCAAACCCTGAGGGAACACTAGCGAAACACTACCAATGCCATGGTGAAATAGTATAATAAAAATCACAACCCCCTAACATTCCAAAAGAGAGCCCTAGTTGGCCTCTCCACTAAGAATCTAAAGCTGAAGGGTAGCAGGAAGTTAACCCTATAATTCATCAGGCCCTTCCGCATCTCCAAGGTTATTGGATCTCAAGCCTACCGGCTAAGTTTACCTCAGTGATATGATTAGATCCATAACATCTTCCATGTTTCCCTCCTTGAACCATGGCGGAAACCCTATACTACCAGGGATGAATCAATGCCGATGCCTGATCTTCAGGATGATGATGAGTATGAGGTTAAAGAAGTAAGAGATGAGCGTAAAATTAATAAGGAAACCCACTTCCTAGTTAAATAGAAGGGCTGGCCTTTAGAATATAATTAATGGGTCTTGGAGGAAGATATGGCGAAGGCCTAGGGGATTATTGCGAAGTTTAGGAAGCAAAGAAAGAAGTGAATTTTAGCTACATTAAAGACTTACTACCACGCCATCACTAAAATACTAATAAAAAGGCACCCCTCTGGCAATGAAGCAACAAGGCAACTTAGATTTCCTCTAACTCCAAAGAAAAGTCTCCCTGAAGGATCTACTCAAAGTAATTAGCAGAAGCTTCTCTGCTATTACCATCACTATTACCATTGCCATTAGCGCCCTCAACCTCATCTATCACATCCCCCCACTCTCAAGCCACCACTACTATTCTCTCAAGGAAGGACGCTTTCGCCTGCAACCAGGCAATAAAACCCTCATCTCCTGGTAGCATACGCAGAAGCTTTTTTAAGTGAAACTCTGCCCAAGCCTCCGCACTAGCATTCTGGGCTGGGGGAAGGATCCCTGCTAATTCCTGACAACGGGTTGCAAGAAATGCATTGTAACTAGGACTGGCTTTCTATTAATCAGATGGTTAATCAGGGCTGAAACCTGTATGAGAGGAAGCAATAGACCTTTAATTCCCCTTTACTCCCCATTAAGTTATGATACTTATAATGGGCCATCTCCATCATATTAAAGGACTTATAAAGGTCCTTTGAACTTCTAGCAACCTCCAGCCAAACTGTTAAGGGCTACTCCTCTAACCCACTAACGCTATCCATTGCCGGCCAGAATTCAGCGGCAGCCCACTTCAAGATAGTACTAAGATCATGAGCGTCGCCTAAAACCCCTGTTGCTGGCTGAAGGCTCGTTAGCACTACTCCCCCAAGAGTCTCTGGGGAACCCACCAGAAGACATGTCATACCCCTAGCAGAACACTATTAACACAGTATGGACGACTTCGCGTCCAGGATATACTTAATCTGGAGCACCAGATCTAGGTTAGACTTAAAACCTCCTACCTCCATACGCATACAGTGCATACACCAAAAGCGCGTTGCAACAATAGGGTTTGTGAGGGCTGCGTGAGTACAGGGAGGCATGGTGTAAGATAAGGAGAAAGGCACTCGAAAAGATCTATCAAAAAGAACAAGATTCTGGGGGATTTGCAGAGGAAAGGGTTCCTCCCTTGCCCTGTCTTTCCTTTGTTAGCCCTGTACCAGGGTCTTCCATTCTGCTCCATTGCTTGAGGGCGAGTGATCCTTAGAGGGGAGATAATTATTATAGTCTTTTCTTCTATGCACTTCCCTTTCTAGTTTCCTTGAGGTTATACCCACCTGACATATTCCCCTAAGAGAAGTGGTTTCTTTCCACTATGAAATCAGTGGCATGACTTGATTAGTTGCGCAGCTTGGTGTTCCCCTCTTTTAGGCAGCGCGAGATGCATATCTCTTATATAGGTCCTTCAGCTGATGAGTTGTCCTCGTATTCAATTTCAAATCATTGATTACGCTTGACAAGGACTTAGAAGTTTCTTGGGGAGGCTATATGTTAAATAGAATGTTTTGAAAGGGATTCTTGAGGGTTCCTCAAGAAACAGTCTTGCCACAATTTGACTTGGTACCTTCTTCCTTACCTGACTGACAGGCCTTCTACCCTGCATAGTAGACACTTTAACACTAAGGCACTATTGAAGCCTTATCATCACATGACCCACACTGAGAATATCCTGCATCCTAAGCTGTCTGCTGTTTGTAGCTCCTCATGTCACGGGCTAGAAGCCTTAGAAACCTATGACCTAGGTTTGGACGGTAAGAAATCACTAAGGAAGGAATCTGGCTAGGGCCGCAGTGGCCAAACAAAAGGGGGTGCGCAGTTGGCGCGTGGGTCACGTGATTAGGCAGATTGCTACATTGATTAGTACGATGTCACGTGGCTGGCAGTTGGTGTCCAGTTTGGATATGACTTCGCGAGGGCCGTACAATTCAGTTGAACAGCCCGAGCACCCAGCGGGCCCTGCCCGCTACAATCTGGGCTCATAACCTATTGAATCTATAATAAAGATGTAGTAGAAGTAGATATATATATATGTATATTATGTATATATTTATAGTGTTAATTATATAGAGAGGAAGATATTATGTGGCTGCAGCCCCCTGTACCTAATTATATACCTATGATCATATTTACCCTAGTGTCTAATTGGCCAATGAGAGGGTGTTTAGTTGACCTACTTCAACACAGAGGCTAGGCCTTCGACTGCATCGTCGGTCCTAGACTTGAGCGGGCTGACCATGAGTGCTCATGGTCACCCCGGGGCCTCATTCCCAAACTTGGGCTGCGCACTCCATCATAATTATCCAGCCCATATACGGAGAGAGCGACTGGGCAATCAGCTTGGGATAAGCTTGAGAAGGAGCGGAAGGTCTGTTTGGGAAGTGCGCTATATTGTTTGACTCTTCCAAAGTATGTAACTAGTAGTGCGCACCCAGAACACCAGTTCAGGAATTGAGTCGTTCAGCTGCCGCGCAATATGATGTTGCTCGAGCTAGTTGCCTTTCCTAGCCAGTTCGAAACGATTCAATCGTGGGACGTCCAAGATCGTACCTGCCTCTGCGCTTCACCTTCACTACCAAAATCCGTATTTCCAATTTCATTATCAACGCATCGACGACTATGGCTCCGTCTATAAGTGCCAGCCTTCCTGGAAACTCACCGCAGTTTAGCACGAGTCATTTCATCCTTTCAGCATGTTCCTGTCAAGCATGGCCTGTACTGAAGCTGTATCTGTTGTGCTCTCTTGGCTACGGGCTGCTTTCGGAGGTCGAAATCAGTGTACCCTTGCCACGTCTCAGCGAACCCAACTGACCTCCGCGACTCAGCGCCCAGGGCCAATCGTGGCTACTGAAGTGCCAGAATATACGTCTCCACCTACCATGGAAGTCCCAGACAAAGGTATGTCATGCTCTGCCCCTAGGGATTACGATGCATTATCCTCGAACACGGCACATCGAGTCCAAACTAACTCAACCGGCCTTGTCGAGATTCCTTGAACAATGGAGAGAGGCTTACTAGTGACGAGTTCCTCCGTAAGCCTTCATATGGAAGTATTCAAGAGACAGTTCTTATTGCTCCACCTTCCACACCAGTGCTAGACAGGAGGGTGTCATACTTCGCCGCAGTCACTATAGGACATCATCCTGGCACTCGTCTGGCAGAATACGACCGTGAGAAAACGAGTGTTATGCAGGAATTGGAAATAAATGACTCACATCAGGAGGATCCTAGCGGAGACGGACAGGCTAGACCTTCGACTGCATCGTCAGTAATAGATTTGAACGGACTTCCCGATGAACGCCCATGGCAACCCAGGGACTCCTTCCAAAATTGGGTTGCGAGCACTGTCAATATTGCGCACCCTACATACAGAGAGAAGTCCCAGCAAGCGAACCATTAGCGAACGGACTATCGAATTGGGATCGGACTGGGATAAGCTTGAGAAAGATGTGGAAGAATGCCTGGCAAATGCGGCGCATTGTTTCAGTAGGGTACGAAGAGCTTGAGTATTAAGTTTAACTTTTCTGATGTGTGTAACTAGTGCACCCAGGACACTATCTCAGGAATTAAGCTGTTCAGGCGCCGCACAAGTACAACAAAGTTGCTCCTTTCTTAGCCAGCTCAAAATTATTCGAGCGTGGGGCGTCCATGGATTCTACCCTGCTTCTTGCTTCACTACCAGAATCCGTTTAATCCCATTATCAGGGCATCAAGGACCGCAACTTGGTCTATAAATGCCAGGGCTATCTGGATTGTTCACCGTATTTTGGCATAAACAAGTCCATCCTTTCAGCATGCTCTCCTAGAGCAACCTTTGCCTAGAAAGATATGTTCCTCTTCACAAGCCTACTTGAATCCTCGAAAGCTTCCTTGTCTGCATTAGGTGCCACACAATTGACAGCTCTCCAGACTATGAATGAAATTCTTTTGAAATACCACAACGCCTCGCCGAAGATCCAATTAAATTCCATGAAGACAGAAGATACCGAGCCCAGCTCGCCAGATCTACATGCAGGACAACTAATTCGAGATATTATTACAGTTAAGAAGGAGTATGGGATAGCTTTCTTCAAAGACTACTGCAGTATTTTAATTATAGGGGGATAGTGGCATATGGTGTTTACAGCTTGTTTCCAGCATTCACCCAAAAAGATCCATTTCATATCCTGCCCATAATTAATTTACGCACCTAATTTAACCCCTGATGACTGGGAATCACTTCAAATCAAACTCGATGCTGCTTCGGGCCGTGTATCAAAAGAGAAGTGGGATAAACTCAAGAGTCATTACAACATTATTAGAGAGGAGTGGCTTATTATTTCTTGATGCCTGGGAAGAACAAGAAACCTGGGAAAGAGAACTGATATAGATGTAGTTGATTTCATCTGAAGTGTATTCGGAAAGCTCTGGGGGCAGGTCTGGGAAGGGATTATTGGACATGACCAGAACCAACTCTTTTCGCTACAAAGAATGGAAGCATATATTTAGGCCCACGTAGCTGGTTATCCAACACAAAGCCGGCTGATAATGTGGTTCGAAAATCATCATATAGTAGGGATATTGAATGATTCGAATTGCCATATAGTAGGGATTCAAATCATCATATAACCAACCCCTTCAACATTAGTCTACAGGGTCGCGCTATGCGCGACCCCGCCATCTCAATGAAAACCGACATCTCAATGATAAATCCTAAAAAATCATATATTTCCTATATTATTAACCACACAAAGGATATAAAATTTTAAGAAAATTATATTAAAAAAATACTACTCTAGAGCTCTCTTAAGATACTAATTTTATATAACTTATAGTTAATATTACTATACTATTACAATGTGAAAGATTAAGGTAATATATATATATATATATTTAGCTACTATTTCTATCTTTATATAGAGGATTAGATATCTAATATGTAATTTATGCTAAATAGTATACCTATTATATAGGGATCATTCTCTTTTTCTAATATATATAGAGGGATATAGTAGAACTTAGTGTCATGGGCTGACCCCATGACACGCACCGCACTGTGTATGCGGCTGTGGTCATGTGGTTCCCTGTTAGTCTGCTGCCATGTCATCTTAGCACGATGACAGCCTGTATCTAGTTTCTTCCTTCCTTAGCAATTCCACTCCATACCTTCGTGGCCTATTGGGACGGCTAGAGTAAAGCCTCAGACTGAGATATTCTAGCCCGTGACACTTAGTGTTAGGGGGTGATGTCAAGGTGCAGGCTCGCAGGCAAGCAGGGGTGGGTTAAAGAGGTAGTTGACACTCAGGCTGGCTACACTAATCCTTATCTAACAGTCCCAGACTGCAGGTAGGCTGGTACAGGCAGGCTCTATAGACAGGACGTAGCTCGAAGAGCTTCAAACAGGTTACAGAATTGTGTGGTGAAGATATTCCCAAGATCACGTGATTCCTCCTTAGCGATGTCAACTCCTATCCACAGCAGCACCGTGACAGGTGATATCTACCCCTAATTCTTAGTATCTCTAGAGGCACTGCTATAATTTTTTAAAAAAAGAGAGATATATATTAAAATAGCACCTATAATCTATATACTTAATTTTAGATCATTCTAACTATGTTTTGTTAAGAAAAATGAAACTTCAAATATCTAGTTTAGTATGGGAAAATGGCTTATCATTGAGATGTCGGTTTTCATTGAGATGGCGGGGTCGCGCT